TATTTGAGAGACAATTCATAGTTATATTGTTTAAAAATGAGAAACAGAAACACGACATAGAAAATTATTCTAGTTTGAATGTTAATGCTATTTTTATACTGCAAAATATTGTAAAACTGAAGTATTTAGAAAAATGTAGAGGCATTTATGTTTTGTAGCTGACATATCGAGAAAAAATAACCAAGCATAAACTCTTTCTTTACTTCTTGTTATTTATTATTGTAAGGTTTATTCTACGTTTCCTAATAGTTAAAATTAGTTTTCTGTCCATGCTTAATTTCAGCTTACAACTTCCGGCCAGAACGTATTTTTAGAATCGCTGTCAAATGCAAATGAGGAGAAGTATTTAACTTTGAAGTTCTACTGACTTCGTTAGAGAGCCAGATATTCCGAGCAGCGCGCCTTCGCCTTCTTGGCTACTCTCTCTCTTAAGCTATTATTACGCTCGGCCGTACTTTAGGCCCTTGATAGCTTCGCCATTAGTTAGCGTTAAGGGGCCAACTCTGTTAGAATCTTGATAGCTTCGGCTATGTCTTTTTAGTTAAGTTTTACTTTAGTATTCCTGAGTTCAAGCCCAAGTGGAGGCTTTATTGTAAACTCCAAAAAGGAGTTGTCTGTTGAATTTATTTTGAATAGTAAAGGGTATTTAACCCCTCTTGAGTTCTGCTGTCTGTTTAATGAACTAAGCGATCATTTGCTTACCAGTTCTTAGAGCTCCTCATTTTCAGCTGTAGCTTAAAGGCAGGAATCTTACGTTATATAAAATAAAAATAGCTTTAAAAATTTGTTTTTAAATATTTTGTTTTGATAGCGCTTTATTTTTCAAATGGATCTATCAGCTTTAGTGGCAAGAAAAGGTAACACCTCTGAACATTGATAAGTTCGATTACCGGCAAATAAAATTTGGTTGCAGGTGGTTTTCCTCTTTTCTTTCTACATGTAGATTTAGTATAAGTAAGTTATCTGAAGGAAATACTTTACAAATCAACTTTTTTCTAAGCAGATAACCTTCTTATGCTTAAATATAAGCAATTAAAAACAACAAACGAAAGAATGGGAAAATTATATGCACTTTGAAAACAATATGTTCATAAATATTGTTACGAATTTTGGACATAGGTAGATGATTTTATTGAAATTATATGTGAAATTATTCTATTTTTCTGTGTAATGCAACACGAAAAATCTCAAGTGCGAAGCTATGCCGGAAAAGCAAAATTACAGTGGCAAATGTATTTAACATTGAGTAAATGCGTATCTCGGTAATTTGGCGAGAAATCACACAAAGTCGCCAAACTTGGTCACCATTTGGCAACATTTTGATCCCGTCCGTGTATCATCGTGATAAGTATTGTAATTGAATAAATGTAATTGATCACTGCATTAGCTGCAATCGTAATTCGACCCTCATATTACTTTCCAGTACTTTAGAGAAGCAGAAAGCACTAGAAATATCTCTGGGGCCGGTTGAAAACTATATAAGGCTGGAGAGAGAATCTACTCTCAGTTGTTATTGTTGCGAGTTGTTAATTCAGCGTGAGATTGGAGATATTTTCGGGTTAGCTTTCTCTTCAAGTGCGCATTGTATTGCGTTGTGTTTAATGCTCTTAGTTGTTTGAAGCATAACTACTGATTGTACTCTGTGATACTGTGAACTTCTGTACGAGTATTTCTGTAGATAATTTAGAACTTTGGCGTGTTTCTATTGATAAAATTAATTTTATTAACTTATCATCGGAGCTGTGTGCATTCAATCTATTACGAACCCGTACGCACGCAACAATCTGCTAAATAGTTTCGGGTAAAATTATATACGAAAACCACCTTCGGCACCTTTTTTAATACAGCAATTCGCGCAGCTTTGCGAAACGTTTGTATTAGCAGCCAATTTCACAAACCGAAAGTGCTACTATTTTTCACTGAGGAATTTTGCTTCTGGGGAAAAGGCAAAAAGCGGAAGTAAGGTTTATTTTAGTGCAACGATAAGCCTAAACAAATTAAGAGAAAGCAAACATATTCGAGATCATTTTTCAGAATGTTTCCAGTGAGTAGAAAGAAGGACGATTGCCAGTTGCTTGTAAGTCAATTAAAGTATAGCACACAAAGGCTTTATATCAGATGTTAGCTTAAGTTATTTGAATAACACAAAGTTACGAGGGCTATCTGCGTAAGAGGAGGAATATCTTCATGGAAGACTTTTTAAGGGAAATTGGCGTGTATTCACATTACAGATGGGGAAAAACCCCGACAACTAATCACTTAGCCAGACCATTCGCCTGTAACAGAACCCAGCCCAGGTCGATACTTAGCGGTCGAAACCGCCAGGCCACTGTTGTGGCTCTTTATGTCAAAAGAAAAGAAGCTTTAGTGGAAAATTGCCACTGGAAAACTATATTTTGTATTTCCATTACTTAGCGGAAACACGAAAATTCTCATGCAGTCATGCAGTTACTAAACTAGTGAGAATCAAATATTATTGTAGGCATCACTATAATAGTAGAAAAAAGAAACAGAATCTAAGTAACTAAAGGCTTTATTATATTTCAAGCCTTCGTTTTTACCATAACAAATAACTTAACTTTAAATATTCACACCCCTTTCAGACACACCTATTTGTATATAAAGATGAATTCCGAAAAATCGTAATCTATTAAGAATGAATCGCATCGGAATCTGACGAATTCAGACTGCGATTAAATGCTAATAGATGATCCTTTTTTTCTCAAACATTCTAGTCTTCTGCATTTTCAACCACCGAATTTCCAATAATACATATATCAATAATACACTGCTTTAGAGCTTACAGTATGCTTTGCGACTATTTTACTATTTCTAGAAGAAACTCTACTATACATGCAATATTTAAGATAATAAAATAATAAGAGATTCAAAGGTCTATTGCGTCGTCTCACTTTCTGCGTTGATTAACTTTTCAAATTGTTGCCACCAAATATCATCGCCATGTATTATACTTAAAGTAACTAAATAATGAAGAGTTTGCAGGAATGCATGAATGTTTCTTGCATTGTGAACGAACAGCGGTACTTACAGCCATCAAATTTTGAATAATTTAGTCCTCCAACCGAACATGGGCACTTGGAAGCTCGAATTGTGAATTTAGAATTTATTTTATTATCTATTCCAAATTTTGTAAACCTTCGACAAATTTTTAAATAACAAAATCAACGATTTCAAAGCGAGCAATACCAACACTATACGAAAAAAAAAATTTACCTCCAGCGCGCGAGACTGCGTATCCAAAATTTTAAAAATAAGTTGTTTTGCTGTTTTCAAATATTTTGTGATATTGCTGTTGAATTGAATTTTATGTGGTTTCAGTGCGAAGAACATGATATTTAATAAATGAAGGTAGAACACAAAGCGTTAAAAAACCTCTCTTTTGGGCGTAAAGTAAAATCTGTAAACTTTCAGATTTTCCTTTTTTTCAATTAATTTATCCTGTGAATGGAATAATATTTTGATAAATTTCGAAATTAATTTTATCAAATTACTTCAGTTCATTAATGTTCTTTGGTTTAAGAGACGGCTTTTGAAAAGGAAAGTAGGAAATGGTCTAAGCGTTGTACCGTGACGTCGGTCCTAATTAGCAAAGTATTGTCATAATCTCCTTAATATTTCGCAACATTACTTCTCAAATACTTCAAAGTGCGGAAGAATGTAAAATTATTTGAAAAATCGGAAAAATAGCTTAAATTAATTACCTTTACCATAAAATGTTACTTATATAAATAAACTATATTTATAATAACTAATATAATCGGGCACTTGGAAACTAAATATTTGGGTAGTTAGTATCAGAAATGTTATTGTACAAAAGAAAGTGTTTTAAACTATCGTAAATATCTCGAAGCGCAAACCTGAAGTATTGTACATACACGTTATATAAATATTCACTATATGCATTTATTTATTGAATACGTTAACTTATTCAATAACGGCATTATATATCGTTCAAGATCTTTTCTAGGATATGATTAAAACAGTGATATTATTCTAAAACTGATATAAATGTACCTTCATTTACATTGATTATAAGTATGTAACCAAAAGTATATAATGTTACGAATTAGATAGATGCTTTTAGTGCAACTCTATCTGAAACTGTTGTTTTTCTTTTGTATAATGTAACATGAACATTTAAAGGAGCGAAGCTTGACGGAAAAGTAAGAATACAGGGGTCAGTCTGTTTAACATCGAGTATGGCCGTCTCATTAATTTGAAAAGATATCGCCAAGTTGGCAACTAATTTTTTGCGCCAAATTTGGCGAGAAATCACCAAAAATTGACAAATTTGGGGATCATTTGGTGAGAGTTTGGTCCGGCCCCTGTATCACCGTATAATAGGTAATAGTAATTGATGTTCTCTGTAGTTGTAACCGTAATTTGGTTCTCATATGCCTTTGAGTAATTTCTAAAAGTAGACAGTACTAGAAATATGTCGGCGGCCGGGTGAAAACTATATAACACTGGAGACAGCATATACTCTCGGTTGTTTGTGTTGTTGTGAGTTGTAAGTTCAGAGCGACTTCAGAGGAGAACGTAAAAGCTTCGCCTTTTAGATTCGCCTTGTTTGCGCTGTGATAAACCTTCTTTGTAGTTTGAAAAGTAAGTACTGCTTGTACTCTGATACTGTGAACACCTGTATGATTATTTCTGTGGAAATTTTCAGAACTGTGAAGTGTTTCTTTTGACAAAATAAATTTTATCAACCTATCAACGTACGCAACAATATTTTTCAGTCAAGATAAAAATGCCATGTGTAACTAAAGTGCAAAATTATCAGATATATTTTATCTGTACCCAAAATATTTGAAGGTTTTTCTGAAGTCGGAAGTTTTTAAATTAAATATCATCATCAAATATAATGATTTATCATACAAAATCAAACATGCGATGTAAAGTTTTTAAAATTAAAGATATCAATAAAATCAGTTACAAAATATTTTATGCTGAAATTTTTAAGATAAATTAGAAATTACCATGATAACTCTTCTAGAAATACGATAATCCGAACGGTAGCTTTTCCAGATGAGCATACCTATCACAGCATAAAAGAAAATAGTGGCCAAAACCCGAAAATCTCTAAAAGATGTGATCAGTGGTACGGTACCCATTGTCCAGTCACAGCACAAATTTGCCGGGAAGAGAAGAATCCAGGCGTTCAGGCATCCTAAGAAATGATGAGTAAGATGCCGTGTAGGCCAGTCTTCTGAAGCGGCAGGATTGTCAAACCTAATAGAAGGAAATAATACCTTATTAATATAATTAAAGCATTAGATAGAGTTAGTAGATTTTCTAACGCTATCATAGCTTCACATAACAAGACAATATGCACCTTACAAGAAAAAAAAATCCTTAAATATGCACCTTATAAGAAAAATTATATATACGAAGGCCTGTATTTTGAAAACGTTTTTCAAAGAATAAGAGAAGTTACAAGATAGCCTGCATATATGAGTTCAATAAGTGAAAACTAGTTCTTATCGGAAAACAATTAAGTGATTTAAATACTATCATTTGAGGCAAAATAAAAAAAATGCCTTCTTTTAAAGTAAATTTAAGTAAAGGTATAACTTAAGACAACGTTAAAATATTGCGATAAATGCCCGAAGGGTACAGCTTCCAGTACGATATTAAAAATATATCCTTATTTTAAAATGGTTTTAATTTCAATTTTCGGAAATACAAAATCATTTGTATCTGTTTTAATTTAAATAATCTGTAAGATTTTTTATATTATTTATTTAATAGAGGACGATACATAAAAATACGACCTATTGCATGCTGTAGTTTCTGCAGGTAAGTCCTAAAATGTGTATTCAAGTACACGGAAAATTTCTTGTCCGGAATCGGTCCGTCGCTGCCGGTTAAGAGAGAGTCTACTGTATTCTGAGATTCGACAATATATGTAATAAATCAGCCAATAATATTTCAGTTTTTTTACCAATATGCATGAATTATTTTCATACAAAAAAGCTTCTAATATGAGAGTTTAACAGAATTTCATTATTAAAATTATTACATATATTTTTATAAATGACGTTTATATTTATTATATTGATTGATTGCTTAATATTTTCTTACCTGTTAAAAACTGGAAGCCTCGCTCCCATGAGTTTCATTCTAGCGAAGAGCAAACAAGTGGTACCTGTCACGATCACCAATAACCTTAGAACTAAATCTTTCCTCCAAGTCGGTGTGGGTCCTTTTATTTTCCCCCGAGGCGCTCGCTCCGGTATAAGGGGAGGTGGAGAAGTCTTAAAAAGTAACACAAAGTTTTTAACATCGTTCAGAAAGTACAATTTTTCAAAGTGCATCTAAGAATGCTATGAATTTGAAAAATATTTTCATATACATGCTGCCATTTTTAATACAGGCATGCATTTCTTTATCACTTGGTGACATTTTGGAGCATAAAAAAAACACTGTAGTCTTTTTTCAATTTGTTAACACGAAATATTTAACATAAATGTAATGCTAATAATGATAAATTAAAAAAAATCGAAGCCATGATTAGGTTATTTTAAATTATTCGAATATAGCAAAGCACACAAACGATATCTGCTTCAGGAAGAATGCCTTCGTGGAGGACTTCATAAGAAAAATTGGTTCGTATTCATTTTAAACGTAGGAAAAATCAGCAAAAACAACCATGTAGCCGCCCCGTTTGCTTTGTATCGAGACTAGGTAGAACTCCCAGTTTTCCGTGGTCTGAACCACTCGGCCACTAGAAGCTCTTGAAAGCCATGAAGTTCATAGCATAAAGTTTAAATACATTTATAATGTTAAAAAGAGTTAAATCCAATATAATGTAAAAGGATTTTCCAATATTAAAACATTTATTACACTTGACTGGATTTCTTTAAACAAAATTAAACCTACTGCTAGAATATTTGAATTTGTAATCGAAAAGTAAATTATATTTTGTTTTGTATGTGATGCTCCTGAAGAAGGTTAATGATGTCATAATATAAATTGATAAATGGTCTACTGTGCATGAATATTATCCTCTGCTTTTCTAGATCATCAAAATTTTGAATCAAATATGATCATCTCTGAAAATTATAAATAGTGTTAACTAAAAACAAATTATTTATCTGTTGCTCGCAACACTCATGTCTCAGTTTTTTAATGCCTTTAAAAATAAAATCTGCAACAAGCCTTACCTTTTGTATGAGTAGAATATCGTAAGTAACACAAATAGCTACAACAGTTATTCCTTGCTCTTTACTGAGCATTGCCAAAGCAACCAAAATAAGAAACTGCAATAGGGCTTTGTAATCTGCGAAAGAAGAAATGCTGATTAAAAACTAGATAAAATGTTATAAATAATTATTACCAAAATGTAATATATTTTTCTAATTACTTTCTGTATTACAAAAAAATTTCACTCGACAGTTATTTGTACAAAACTCAGAAAGCTTACATGGAAGAAATATTTTCAACTGATAACGGAAAACAAAATGTATCAGAAGCTACCACAATATCAGCAAAAGGCACCAGGGAATACAACGTCATCAGTTTAAAGAAGATAAAAGGTACCAAAAAATTTTAAAAAATCGTTTGCTTTTTTTTTTTTTTTTACTTTGATATACAGCAATTACCAGAAAAGAAAACTACATGTAAACAGTCAAAATATTCCATCAATGTAATGAAATACACCAAAACGCATTTAAAATAATTAAAATGTTTTTCTTTATATTTCTCTATAAGTAATAGAAACTGGATAATATTTCATTTGCAAAAACGCCGAAAGAAATTCACAATTAAAAAGAAACGAAATACTTACCAGAAAAAGTTTGGTAACAATAAGTAGTGTGAGGAAATTTAGATTTTGTTCGAAAAGTTAGTAAAAAAAAGGGGGGGAAGAGAAATAAGCAAGTGTTGTAAACATTAGCAAATGTTTTTAGTGCATTTAATGTGCGTTTTTTAGATCTTAGCTGCCAATTTCACGATGTGAAATATACAGGTATTTTACTTTTATATTATATTAGTAAAAATATACACGATGTGATGGATCCTGAAAGGAAGGAAGTTAATTTAAGTGAAAGAAAAGTCTTTACAGTCTGCGGGAACAACTACCTATCAGCAAGAAACAGCAAGAGAAATACAGTATAAAGCTGTAAAAGTGAACTGCTCGTAACTGGCAAAGCACAACTGGCAAAATGTACTGAAATAGAGATTAAAATATACCAGTACTTTGTGCCAATTCTATCTGAAAACTGTCAACAGGACATAGCTACCATGGCTCGAAAGACTGCGTGCTTGAAAAATCTTTTTTTCATTTACACAGGGGCCATTTCATTACAATAGCTTTAAGTGCGCTACGTTTGCAAAACAATACATTAATAAATCCAGTGAGTTTTCATAACAAACAGTATTTAGAGATGAAAGCAAACCAGCGTCAAAGGGTTAAAGAGAGATTTTTGCATACGAATTTATTTAGATGAAAACTGGGAGATAGTTCTGCATTGTAAAACATGTTTAGGTAACGTAATGGTTTGAGAGTATACGAGAAGCAGAGGCATGGAACCCATGGAAATGACCATGAGACCAAATTAAAAAAATGAATTATTTTAAAAACTATTATTGCGAAATGCCCAGCTGTGGCAAGATAACTTCCCCACAACGCGGCGTTAGGTTTGCTAGAAATTGGCAAAGAAAGGCATGGTTGCCAGATTTGGCGCGAAATCACCCATTTGGAAAGAAACTAAATCGGCCATATGCTACAGACCGAGCAAGAACATTTTCGAACGTATTTTTAGCGGTTTTTCTCGAGAATGTTTTCGAAAGTAGGTTAAAGCTATATACAAATTACCTATACGCGGAGAGTGAAGAGTATCTAGAGTTCAGTACTAGTGTCTTTAGTGTAGAGGTTAGTTTGAAAGCAACCGATTCGAGTCGAAAGCTGTGCTTTGCCGTGAAGCTGTCTTCAACGTTGTAGCCTGAAGGGTATATTACTGATTGTTTCAGCGTATTTATCATAGTTTTTTGACGACTAAAACATTTGACTTCACAATTTTGTAAAAGTGTCTCTGGAACTGTTCTGTGTAATACTGGCGAATAAATTGTGTCTTGATATTTCATCAAGTGTTATCGTCAATTATTCCAAATTCAGGAACTCGTAGGACGCAGCACTATAAAAAGAAACTTGAAGCAAAGTATTCAGAAATTAATAGCAAGCATTGATTATTATTTCAATCTAGTTAACACATCCAAGCTTGCTGAGAAAATTGCGAAGATCTAGATTCTACGTAATAGGCCCAAACAGATGCATGCACCACAAACCACATTGCATAAAACTAACAGAACATTTGTTATTTATTGGAACATAAAGCTGGCCAAAATTTTGATAGATATATTTAAGATTGTATTAAGAGAAGAATGGAATAATATAAATTCAATATAAATTACAAGGTTTATTTTAGCTAAGTCTTTGTGCTTATATTAATTTTTTTATATATCATCTTTTTTATTCGATGGCCTTCACCAGAATGCGGATTAATTGGTTTTAAATAGCGAGTGAAACTGTAATTTAGAGAAACTACTGCAGCTTATTAGCCTGAGAAAAAGATCCGTACATCTAGTCGACCAGTATATTGGTAAATGGTTTTTATGCGTTAAAGATTAGAGTGTTATTAGAGGAAATTGAAATGGCGAGTTTTACTGTTTTAAATAATTGATTGCTGAAGATTCCGAAAACAGCGGTGCCAGTAATTGTAAATTAAAAAAAATTAATTTCTTGTTTGTGTTAATGAAGATTTATGTTAATTGCGAAGACAGTAGTTTGTTGGTGTATGAAAGGTTAATAAGGTATAATTAAATACTTAATCTGCTTTAAACTCATAACAGCAAAACGTTTCTATGCAAAAAATAAGCTTAACAATTCCTTAAATAAAAAGAATAAATAGAAAGGATATATTAATTTTTAATTGCTAACTAAAAGGGAATTTCCTTTTTTTAACTTAACATTTAATTTAAAATTTATAGATATTTTCTACTGATTAGCTTATTTTTTTTACTATTATTTGCCTTTGGTAAAAGCTAATTTTTTTTCCTCTTTATTATTTGAGTATTGAAAATGAGAAAAAAAAAAAAAAATGCATTCATTTTCATAAATATCATTTTTAATTGTTTCCTTTATATAAATTTGATATTTTGGCTGTCTACACCCATACGTTTCCGGAAAATGTATGCCAGCTGAAAAACAGAGAATAAAACCAATTATTTTACAGTTTAATATTTTACAGAGTTCTGCTACAGAGGCTTGGCTTGGTTTTTTGAATATGGCAAAGGCCTCGAAAGCTATCTTCCTAGGAAAAAGAATGCCTTTGTGAAAGACTGTGTTAGAGAAATCGATTCGTATTCATATGTAAGGATTATGTTAATTTTATTAACAGTTAAATTTTAAGTTAAAGTTCCTTTCCTGTCAAATTCTTAACTTCAACTACTTCCGGCCAGAACGTAGTTTTGGAATCTTGCTGAATATTTAATGAGGAGGAGCGGTATTTAAACCACGAAGTTACTGACAGAGTCAGAGAGAATCAGAGTTTCTGATTTACGCGCGTCTGCCCTTTTGTCCACTCTCTCTCTCAAAGCTGTTATTACGCTCGGCCGTACTCAGGCCTTTGCTAAGCTTCGTAGTCAAATAAGTTAAGGGGCCAACTCGATTTGAATTTTGATAGCTTCAGCTATATTTCTTTTACTTAATATTAGTTTTAGTTTAATACTTATTCTCTTAAGTTCAAGCCCAAGTGTCGGCTTTGTTTGTACACTCCCAGACGGAGTTTTATTAAATCTTATTGGAATAATAAAGTGTTAGTTACCCTTCTATCTTGTTGTTTCTTGTCACCCGAACTTAAGCGATTATTCGCTATCTAGTTCTTAAGACTCGTCACTTTCTACAGTAACTGAGATTTACACAGGGAAAGTCTTACACATGTTTCACAGACGAAAATGATGATAACTAACTATGCAGCTGGCCGTTCACCTAAGTTCGAACCCAGTACAATATCAGCATTCAACAGTCTTCAACCGCCTGGCAGGGTTCTGTTACAGAATATGAAATGCGTTCGAAGTTAAGAAGATTCTTGTTTTTTTGATAAAAACCTGGATTTATGGATTTTTTCTATTCTTTAATCTGGTGATTAAATTGGGAAAATCAATACTCCATAAGTTTTCCCAGTTACTGAAACGAATCATGAGCTACGCTATAAAATATTTTTCGTTCACTATAAAGTTTTCACAGTTATAAATTTCTGGATTACTAAATTATATTTGCAAGTGTTGCTATTTTAACAACCATAATTGGTCATGCAACTGGAAAATGTGCTTACATTATTTATGCAAAACTTAGCTTTTTTTATGTACTTCAGAAGTATTTAAGATTTTATTATACTTAAAGGCATATATTTGGGACTATTTGTATTTGCGTTTCTTGAAGGAAAATACAACACTAATTGAGCTTTTCAGTCTTCTTGTACAACTCATGAGTCTAGCTTTTATTAATTTGCGTTAAACTTCAGTTTTATTAATGACGAATGCAAATGTAAAAAACGAAACTACGGTGAAATATTTTTCATGTGATTTCATTAGTACTTCGTATGAATTTGGAATGTTTTTAGCAAACAAATGAAAGAAATTTGAAAGTTTACTGATTTTTAAAACGTATTTCCGAAAGTTTTCATTCATGATCTAATGCAAAAAAAGGGATTCTCTAATTTTCCATGCTTGGAATGATAACATTCAGTTGGAATGATAAATTCAGTTGATAACATTGTTTCATAACAATGAGCCGAATAAATACTTAAGTTCGCTTTCAGTCACTGTCGAGCAGCTGCAGTAAATTAAATGGCACTCAGATTTACCTGCTGAGTGTGAAGTATTAAAGACCTGACATTACGAGGAGCAGAGATTCTTAGTCTGTATTACAGTGTATTATAAATTTCATTAGAAACATATTTTATTAATTTAGATAATGGTAAAAATTTTTTAAAATATCATAAGTTAGATAGATATGCAAAATATATATGATTATAAATTATGCAAAATAAATTAACTACGACTTACGTCAATTAATATGTAAGCGGTATGTGCCCTTTTAAATTTCTCAGTTGGTTAAGCAATTTTTTACTTTAATTGTAAAGATTAATTAAAGATTTTAAATTCACACCAGAGATCAATATTTGCTGAGAACTGGTAATTGTCATGGCCGTGAATGCGAAATTAAACCTCGTATGCCGTTTAGACTTGCAATACTTGCCAGTACGCGTGCAGTTTGGT